CCCCTATCCGCGACCTGGGGACGCGCTCGGTAGCATACAGCTCTGCTCTTCCGAGGGCATGTGCTGCGCATGTCATCGAATAGGTTGCCACCCCGATCGATATTTCCTGAGGCTGGTATTAGGTGGAATATAGCCAAGGATGGTCAAGCTAAGACCTTGCATGAGCGTATGAAAACCCTAATCAGGAGTCTGCGTCATATAGGTCCCATTAAGCTTTCTATCTGGGGACCTCGAGATGATCGTAACCGATGGTTAGAGACACCGAGTGATATGGCTGGGTGTCTTAAACAGTGGCGTGCGTGCGTCTTCTCAGTTTCTCTGCTGCATTAGTCCACTGAAATTTTCCATTTTTTCTTTGATCCTACTTTCAACCTTCCTGTTTTCCCCCTGTTGTTCACCCAAATGGCCAGCCAAAAGCGACGCACTGAAATGTATGGTTAATGGTTGTTTTAAGTGAACAACTGAAAACGGTTACAGGGTTTGATTGGTTTGTATTGTTGCTTTGGTTGTGTGAAGAGCTGCTGAGGCACACAGTGAAAGTTAGCGTGCACTGCCGAGCAACATGAAAAATTGATTTGTTCAGCCACCCGGTGATCACGCTAGAAGTGTGCTTTTCTCTTACCTGTGAGGTCCTGGGTTGGATTCTCGGTTAATGTAATGGATTCGCACTACCCATCAGACCCAGTCAGGTCGAAACACCTGTACGATGCTCCCTAGCCTATCGGTTCACGCTTTGTTTGCTCTGCACACGACTAAATCTACTACATAATCCAATCCATTTATCCACTACACTCAAGTACCAAATAGTCAAGTTCGGAATGTTTCCAACAGACGCATAACACTTGATTTTGTTGTAGAGATGTATAAGGTGTTGATGTCCGTAAAAAGCATGCAAAGGTGAGCGTGTTATACCATATTTTATCCTGAAAGATACTTGTGTTTCATGATCTTATGTATACGTCGCTGAAAATGATAACCGGAACGATAACATTAAAAATAGAACTACAATAAACTTTTATATGAAATAAAATATATCAAATCTGAAATTCTAACTTGACTTGCTAGTCTCCTGTGTTGGGTCTCTCGTCACCATTTTTCTGTTCGATATCTCACCTTATCGAATCCTCTCTTGTTTAGAGTTCTCACTGAAAAGCAGCGTGAGGTTGCATCCCTAGAAGCACGTATTTATCGCATGAGCGAGTTGCTAAAAGAGATCCGTGAGGCAACCATTGAAAACGTGCAACGACGCCAGGCCCGAGTCGGCTTCGAACGGGACGAGGAAGAGGCAGATGCGGATAAGGGCGTCGGTGGAGAAGGTGAAGGAGGCCCTGGTGCGGATGACGACGATGATGATATTCCCTATAATCCCAAAAACCTACCTCTTGGTTGGGACGGAAAGGTTGGTTTTTATTTGCATCTGTATCAACAAATCTGATTCACAGACCTGTTTGAGTTATACTCTATTTTTAGTTTCCTAATTTACTGATCGTTTCTGTTTCCCGTGCTGTATTGGGAGAGCTATTTGGGATTTCGTAGCCGCTGCGATCACTGCTGGCCTTGTCTATTCCACCTCTTTGACGAACACTAAGGAGGTCAGGGTCAAACAACATCGTGTTGGGATCTATTGCTTGTTGATAATCGCCAGTAACATTAGCACAGACTTGAACTAGACAATCTCATGATGCCACAATAGGATAGACATAATTTATACGCTGGGCAACAACAATGCAGCCTACCACCAAGTGCTGCTGCGAACGGGAGAGCCCGTCATTTTGAAACCGATTTTATCGTCTCCGAAACTGGATAAAATTTT